AAAAAAAATTCTATTTATTTCTCTTTCTCTTCCCTTCTCTCCTCTCTTTCAAATAGAGTATAATTTTTATTTTATTTATTTATTTTTTATGTCAAAAATATTAAAAATTAATTATTACAGGGAAGGGAGGAGTGCAAAGATCAAACACAAACTAACACAAAAGCAGTGACACTGACAAAGTGTTATTTCATGTAATATATATATCACATAAACTTAAATAAGTAATATATATATATATATATATACACTCCACATCCGTATACACGTATAATTAGATATATACATATATACATTTTCATTGGGCCTCAAATCCAAATACTCCATCAAGATCCATCCCCGTGGCCCTAATCCTTTGGTCCAACCCAAAATAATTAAAATAAATAAAACAAATCCAATAAACCATTTTTTTTTTTTTTTCAGACAATAAACTTAACTACCACTCATAGTTAATAAACAACCTCATAAAATAAACAACAACAAACAAGCATACCATCATAAGCAAATAATGGAAAGTATATTACATCACATACAACCCAACAAGCTGGTAAATACAAATAATTAAATAAAGAATCAAATAACCAATTAAATAATAATGAACAATTAAAAAACTTAACCAATTAAATAGACCAATAAATAAAATAAGGTAATTAATTTTAATAAAATAATTTTTCTAAAAATTAGGAATATTACATAGTCATGCTAAACAAACATGTGCTAACCTAGTGGTTGAGTTTAATTATTTTAGGATTTATTAATAACTATGCCTCCTTTAAAAAAAATAAAAAAAAATAAAAATTCTTGTATTTGAAAGTAATGAATCATTATTTTAGATTTGAAATTAAAAAAAATATAATTTAAATTTAAAATATCGATTCAGTATACCCAAACATAATATTAGCATATTGATCGCAAAATTTAAAGAGGAATGCGAGCAAGGGCATATCTAGGGGTAGGCTCTGGTGGAATTATTATTATTATTATTATTATTATTTACTATAATCAATTTTAACTCAGCAATATATATATATATTATTACAACTATTAATCCACCCCATTAATAATTCTTGAATTCGTCATTGAATGCAAGACAATATGAGACTTTTTTTTTTTTTTTTTTTTTTTAATAATATAAATCCAAAAGGAGTTTTTGTTGTTCCATCTAACATCATTCCTTCAAATGGTTTTTGTGGATTGAATTTAGACTCAAGAGACCCACCAAACAAACTTAGAAGTTAAGTCATTCAATTATACCAATGTGGAGAGAAAAAGAAAAAAAAAAAAATTATACGAATGTGATCTATGCGCATGGATCAAGTAGTAAAACATTTTTAAAATTACATGAAAAATATTGATGGGACTTTAATTTGATGATAAGACGAGATATGGAAAGCCTATTAAATAAAGATTGTGTGCATTGTAAACTAGTAATTTTTAAGAAGAATTATCATTTTTCAAGCCCAAATCAAAGTAGAAAAAATTAGTTAATTAAGGAGGCTAGGGTTGAAAATAACTTGGTGTAATAAGGGCTTTGTAGTAGTGTCCATAACATACACCAAAATCCAAATAGATGGTAAAAGAGTTAAAATGTGGTTGAAAATAACCTCACTTTAACGGGGGACAAGAGTAACCGTTGGTATTGACATATCCTAGATAAATAATGATGATCTAAGTACCACCACTAACTTCAAAATTCAATTATGTTTAATTGGTACCCAAATTTCTAAGTCATTAAAATGAATGAAGGATTAAGGATATGATTACCTTTAAGCCATGTTATGTCTAGGCTAGGTAGTTGCAAGCGGTGGTTGCTGTTAGCTTTAGGATTTGAACTTGAAATGTAGAGAAGTGGGCTCAACTCATCTTAATTATGGTTTGATGAGGCACATTAACCTGGTTAATTAGAAGGTCAAATAATTAGGTTATCAATTCAATTGCCGAGTCGGACACTAATTTTATATACACTCAAATGTAGTAATTTATGAATAACCTATAAAAATAAATTAAAAGATTAACATTTTTTTATTATTATATTTTTAAAATTTTGGATATGACTGGTTCGTTTGAGGTTGAATTGGACTGGATTTGAGGCTGGTTAGTTGAGGCATGAAGACATAATGAGTGGATGGACCCTCATCATAACAATCACTAGCAATTGGAAAACAGCATGCTTATTAAGAATGATGTTTTTGACCATTGGGTGAATCATAATTTTTTACTTTTTGTTATTTACCGATCAGATGCCAATACAAAATTTGTTATGATTAAGCAACGTCCCTATCCCAATTTTTTTATTAGTTTTTAATTTTTCCAATACATTGGTAGGCCTAAAACGTTTTTTTTTTCCTCCGGAAATTAGATCTAAAACGTTGTTAATCCATCATTACAAAAGATGAATGTATAGGTAAGTTTCTTGAGACGCAAAGCTACAAAGGTAATTTTTAATAATTTTACATTTTTCATAACATCCATATTTAGAAAAATTTCCTAGCATAAGTAGATCTAGGTTAAAAATATTATTTAGTGTAATTCTTATTTATACAGTACACTGAAAAGAATACAAATATGATAAATTGATGTAACGATTGATATTATTTTTGTACAAATTACTACTCAAACGATTTGAAGGGTGCAAGTGGGCACAATTAGACTTGTTAATGGATTGAATTTGGATCTGAATTCGATCTGGTAACTCGAATATATATTGAAGATTTAATTCAATAACTCATTAGTTAAACAAATTAAATATAAATTATGATCGATCTGAGCCGATAATAATCCGACCCGAAATAATAAATTATATAATATATTAAACATATATAATCTAATTTTATAATATATAATATTTGTATATTATCAAAATATTTCATCATGTTCTCCTCTCTTTCTTCACTCTTTTTATTTTATTTTTATTTATTCGGAAAGTTTTATTCTTTAACAAAGGATAAAAGATATAATTTTTTTTTTTCATATTTTCTTTATCTTTTTTTATTATTATTTTTATTCTCTTTTGACATAATATTTAAAAAAAAAAAAAAATTTGTGCACACACCCTCCAATCAGATCGAGTATCCGTTTATTAACAAATTAGACATAAATTTATTTACAAAATATCTATCGAATTATCGAATCGGATCAAATTGATCATAGCCTTATTAAATTCGAGACGGATCATCACTAATCTGATCCAAATCTTACCTGTATACAGGTCCAGGCACAATGCTACAAGAGGGCTTCTTCATACGGGACAAAGTGTACCATATCATAATTAATGATCAGCAGCAAAAAATTAAATATGAATATTCACAATGTTAATTAAGATAGTGGCGGTGAAAAAATAAGCTGAAGGGTGAAAGTGATTACAAAACCAAGGTGTGCAATCAACGTTTGGCATTATCAATGCCTCACTATAAAAATAAAACACTTTATGGTTTGATTGTGACATAAGGGAAATATTAACCACGAGATATGATTTATTTAATGTAAAAACTACTTGTTGGTTTTTCTGCTGTCGTGTGGTAACTGGTAACAGCTGCTACCATCTCAGATAAAAAGTTGGCCTATAATAACAAAAAGGGTTGGTTCTCGATCATTTTCTTCTGTTAGATTGACAGGAATCTCGTGGTCCCTTCTTGTCTCGGTCCTATCATTTGGACAAGGGTCTCCATGATTAACCAGGTACCTGTTCACCATTACCGGTTAAATTTGACAATATTTGGCACGAGGTTGAAGAAGATGGGAAAAGATATCTAGCCATCCATTCAACTTGAGCAATAGACAATTAACCTGCACGGACTAGCTTTAATGGTTCAAGACATGAGCTCCACATATAGAAAATCTTGTATTCGACTCTCTCTAAAAGAGTAAATTCAGATTTAACTGATAAATATAATTTATGCGGATTTACACATTTTTAGGATATACCTTATAATTACAAATTTAAAGAACCGATGATTAAGAGGATTACACGTCATCAAAATATATAAATATATATATATATACAGCTGTTCACATTTACATTTGCATGACGAGTTAAAAGAGAGGAGAATATATAGGTTCACCATCTCATACCCTCCTATCTTCTGATGTGTCTCGTCAATAAGATATATCTATATATGTGCATGTATACATTGTTATAGTGGTAGGTCCTACAACTCCTATCACTTGTTCGGAAATTCGAAATTCAGTGAGAGATGGTTTTTCCTTAATTTTAGAGACACAATATTTTAGAGTTATGTAGATGTGACTACATTCCAATGAAGAAATACGGATTTGAGGACAATATTGATCTATTCTAGCTGGCCCCCACCCAATTAAACTAAACCCATAAAATGTTTGTATTTTAGAACAACCCAGCAACTCCTATTTTATGGTAGGTTAAATTGCAATGCCATTGGTATGGTCTGACCTCCATTTGATGCGAGTTTAAAATTTTTGGCTTGGACGAAATTTCGAACTCTTTTTCAGTAGATCTAAACGATACAATTGGGATTGCCAACAAACCTAATCAACCTTTGTTTTTTATAATCTATTATAAATTATTCTTGTATTGTACTATATTCAACGGTTCACATCACCCATTTTACATGTATGGTGTGATTTGTTCATAGCATGAGAATGTGAACCGTGTAATGCTGCAGATTGACCCCTCTTCAATTGAAAAATGGTACAGCAAAAGATAGCCAGCACATGAGAAGTGAGTATTGACCAAGATCCTCACGAGCCATCATGATCCACCGAACTTTGGTCAATTCTGAAATACTACAATGGTTTGGAAAACGTTGACCATCAATTTCCAGATTAAACCCTAACTCCACATACGTGTCCATATCATACTCCACCATCGATTTGGGTCCTCCTCTTTCGTGCGTTGATACGTAAGACCACCAACCAATCAGACTACCAATTGAGAACGGAGGGTCCACACCGTCAAAGGTGGGTCCACCCACTATAAAACAACAACACACTTGGGATCTTGTATTCCAAAGCAAAGGATACTTATGTCGGCCGACCTTAAATTAAGCAAGTAAAGGTTTTAAGAGAGAGAAACCCTCAAGAAACCTCCCACCGACTGCCCCTTCTTCTTTCTCTCTGTACCCCCTTCTTCTCTCTCCTTAAAACCCAATATGTTGTTGTTATGTTCTTCACCATCATTAATGGTTGTATAAAACATAAGTCTGATCTTTGTGTTGAGATATATATATATATATATATATAACTATGGGAAATTGTGTGTTTAAAGGGTTTGGAGGGGTTGAAGATATGATCAAAGTAGTGACATCCAACGGTGGAGTGATGGAGCTATACGCACCGGTCACGGCGGAGTGCATCACCAACGAGTTCCCCGGCCACGCCCTCTTCCGAAGCCGTGACCTCTTCTCCGAACCTCTCCTCCACAACGAAGAGCTTCACGTTGGAGAACTATACCATCTGCTACCACTCAACACCACCACCACACCAGCCAAGAAACCTGATGATACAAGACATCATGACAGTAACAACAACAAAAACATTAATGTTGTGTCTACTTCGTCTTTAGTCACGCCGTATCGGATGTCATGCGACAACCAGGGCGTGTTGAAGCGGTCGGATGCAGAGGTTTTTCCGAGGTATAACAGCAGCGGGGTGTGGAAGGTGAAGCTGGTGATAAGTCCGGAGCAGCTGTCGGAGATATTGTCTCAGGATGCTCGAACGGAGGCCTTGATAGAGAGCGTGAGAACGGTGGCTAAGTGTGGGAGTGCTGTTCCGTCGGTGGCCAATTCCGATCAATGGAGTCTGTCTAGCAGTTGGAAGGCCTCTTCCGATCACAAATATTGTGGTACTGATCATAGTTAGGGCAATTCAACAGACATGATAGCCTTTGTTGTTTTTTCTTGTCCCACTTTTCTTGATTTATCTTTAGTTTATAAATATTGTTAATTAGTTTGTGATTATGTTCATAGTGCAATGCATTTAATTAATGAACTTGGCCTTTACTTATTATTATTATGGTTAGTTTCTTAAATTCCCAATTTATTTCATTTTTCAGTCATGTAAATGATCATAAAATTATTTCAATGGGTCCTACTTTCCGTAGAATAGCAAAATTGTAGATCTTTACAATTTAGAAATCAATACCACTTTTTGGAAAAAACGTTCAGAGTCCTCTTGTACGCGCATTCAATTTTAAATCAAGCATAAGATATAAACTCTCTCTATACTTTTATTTGATATCATTGTCTCAACTTTTATTAAAAAATAATATAAATGAGTAATTATGAATAATGATTTAACTATAGAATTCGATACTTATTGAATTTAATCCCCATACCTCTCATAAAAATTATTGGAGTGACAAATTGTGTAAATTAATTGTATGATATTATAATTAGGATATTATTTTATAAGTTTTAATTTGAATATGACCGGTTTATTATTTATGTCTAAACTTTTAATATAAATAAGACTTATTTATTAAATAGACAACTTTTTTAATCATCACAACTTAACTTGACATAATTAATTAAATAAATCAAATCAAATTAAATAAATATAATATCGGAACACAAACAAGTTGCAATTAATTCTATACATTAGTTGGGTTGGCATGATTATAAAATGAACATAATAAATATTACCCCAAATCCACAAATTTAGCATTGGATCGGAATCATGTTCACACGAGTCCCTAACTGATGCACACTGTTAGCATTTCCAAGGGGACTATTCGAAATTTCACGAAAGAAATTACCAAAGTTGTGACGCAAGTACTTATTCTTGACATGGTGCTGGTCTCCAAGTACTTATTCTTGACAAGGTGCCGGTCTCCCTTCCTAAGAAATGTACTACATATATATATATATATATATATAGTCGGGTTTTTTTCTTTAAAATACTGGGTATTGTATACTTTTCCACGCACGCTGCCTTATGAATCTCTTTAAACTCACTCTCAGAATTGATGTTGGACAAGACATCTTTATAGAATTTGTAGTATTCCCCACAATACATTTATATATATTTATATAAATATTCATAAGGCAGCGTGCGTGGAAAAGTATACAATACCGAGTATTTTAAAGAAAAAAACCCGACTATGCCATTGGTTGGCTTATTTTGTGACTTTGTCTCTAGAACTTGAACACTCAACCCTTCCATAAGAGAACTTATTGGCAATGACGGTGACGGCAGGTAACACCTTCTCTAATCTTTAAAATAGAAGATGACAATGACGGTGACGGCAGGTGACACCTTCTCTAATCTTTGAAATAGAAGATGAAGGGTCTAACTCTCTGTATGAGCTGAGCTTCTAGTAAATGGGCTGAACTGAATAGAATTGAATGGGCTGGGCTTCAAGTGTTTGGGCTATATATGAAGTGGTGGGTTTGTTTGGCCATCAGTTTTATACATTTCAATGGGCTATATTTTATAGTTGGGTTAGTTCTTACAAATTTATTAGGGCTTTTGGGGGCCATGCAACAAGCATTCTCAGTGTACATCAGCCAGCCAAACATTCTTTTCCTGTGTCTCTCTTAGGGATGGCAATGGGGCCCCATCTCCGCCCCCCTCCCCATTTAAAATTTCACTTCAATCCTCATACCCGCCCCCGCTCTCCATTCCCTATTCCCGCCCCCACAATCCCCATACCCGTTTAATTTACACTATAATTTTTTTAACACATATTTTTTCTTATTTTTAGAAGTATGTTTATATATAATTAATATAATTTAGTAATATATCATAATATGTAAGGATATTTTAGTAAATTTACACCCTAAACTGGGCGGGATGGGTTTACCCTATCCCCGCCCCCGTCGGGTTTTCAAAAATTACCCCATCCCCATCCCCGTTTGCATAAAAGGGTCCCCAAACCCACCCTAAATGGGGCGGGACAGGACAGGAAGGGGCGGGGCGGGGACTCGGTGGGGATGGGGAATTTGCCATTCCTAGTCTCTCTGCACTTCTTTCAGGCTCTGTTTTGGTCGGTTGTCAGTTTTAAAAATAGTGTAATTTGTATTTTTTTTCTCACATTAATTATTGTTGAAGTAATGTCCTAAATTTTTTAAAAAAAGTTCTTTTGATTAGAGAATTAAGGGATAGAGAGATGTTGAGTGGGTATAAACTATAAAATATGAAAGTTATAGAACTTGAATTAAATATGCAAATTTTTTTAATAGTTGTTAGATTGGGAAAAACAAAAATAAATAAAATAAGTGGATTAGATAATAAAATAAAAGACAAGACAAGACAAATGTCTCCTGGATTGCCAAATGAATTAACATAGTGAAAAATGTTAATGAAATAACTTTAATTTTGTTGGACTCAACATGTCTTAAAACTGCAAGTACAAGAAATGACGGTTGGCTTCCAAGAGAAGCCACACTCAAGTTTGGTAAAGACGCGAATACTCACAAAGCAACAAGCTTTCAAAGGAAGTTTCTTGTGCTCAAACGTGTGACTTGGGTTGTAGGAGAACATATATACATTCAGGTATATGTAGTCGTACAAACTACAAAGAGAGAGGGAAACCTCATAGTACTGAAATATACAATATAGGAGAGAAAAATAGAGAGTTTAGAATGGAGCTAGGTGAAGAGAGAAAAATTAATAAAAGACAGTGTGTGTGTGTGTGTCTGTGTGTGAAGAACTGAACCAGAAGAGAAGAAGAGAGAAATTACAGAAGCTTAAAGGAAAAGAAAGAAGAAAAGAGAAAGAGAATTGGAAGAAAAATTGGGGGAAATATTTCAAAAAGGTCCGTAGGTTTCCTAACCTTCTCGATCAATTTTTTAAATTTCTTGGTTTATTTATTTATTGTTATTATTTTTTGAAATTCTACATAAATGTTTCTTGTCATGCGAAATGTGGTGGATTCACGTTGTCAAACTATTTTGATAAAACATAAAATTATATGTCTACGTACATATGGATACTATGTCCTCCTATTTCATTTAGATCTCTCGTTATTTGGAGGAGCCCGATTTACTTCTTTGGGCTTCTATTAAATTGAGACCAAATTGGCATTTCCTTTTGACGCACCCCACACCAAAAAAAGAAAATATAACAAACATTCTCTAGAATTTCTCTTAGATTCGAAGCCATAGCTGATAATAGAACTAGAATAGATATTTTTTGGGATATGAAACTTCTTATTTGGGGGTATAAAAAGGAGAGAGGGAAAGGGAACTAGGAAAAAAAGAGAGGAGAAAGGGAGGTGTTGTCTAATATTGTTCCTCCTCCCTTAGTTGATATTTTAAGGAAGTTTTACGATTTTAGATTAAATGGTCTAGATTAATAATATTACAAAAATGACAAAATAGAGTCGAATCAACCTCGGCTCAAATTAAGAATTTAAAGAAATGGATTCATATGAAAAAGGCCAATTATTTCATTATAAAAAAACAAAAAGATTGAAAGAATTGGTAAATTTGAGTTAAATCCTTATGTTTGGAAAATTGAACTGAAAAGTATGGTTTAGGACAGAAATTTGTTTATTTGAATGAATTTTTTAAGTTGAGACTGACTTACTTTGAAATCTGTTTTCTGAGCAAAATCTTTCTTATTTTTTTCCCTCAAAACTAGTTTTATAGGTATATAAATTTATTAAAATAAATTGATAGTATCAAAATATAGTCTTTAATTTGGTTAACTTCGGAATTGAAAATTATAAGTGGCTTTGAAATCCTGACCATTAACTCAAAGTAGTCTCCAACGCCGCTGTGTGTGTGAAAGAGGAAATTTCACTAGGCCACGAACCTTGTCCGTGAGTCATATTTAATCACATTAAAGTTGTTGTTGTGGGCTTTGTTCATGCAGTCTGATGCATTGGGAGAGGTATTTTGTGGGTGGGTTTTGATATAAGTTGTGGGCCTGCAAGTATTTGAGCAAGCCTGGTTGTAGTGGACAAGTATCAAGTCCAGTGTGAATTAAAAAGTTTTTGGAAATATCCAACATTAGAAACGAAAGCGCTTTGATCGTTAAGGATCGTGACGAATCACCAAAATTAAATCCGGAGTACTTAGAAACTTTATGTAAGAACCTTAAACCCTCCTAAATCTAAATAAAAAAATAAAAAAAATAAATTATAATCACGAACAAAAAAATGTAAACGATGATACATTATGGTTCAAAAACAGGACCAAACCCCTAATCAATTAAAGAAAAGGGCATATACGGTATGCATTTTGTTTTTGTGTTTTTGTTTTAACCTGAAGTATATTTTGTTATATGGTATTTTGAATATTAATTGGAAGGGGTTCATGTAATCAGCAGTTACGGACCAAGCATAGGAGCAGTGGGATGGATGTCCCCACTGAATTTTTTTATTTATATTATTATCTATGTATTTTATTAAAATTTAAGAAATGCATCACTCAATTTTTTTTTTTTTTAAATCTCCATTATATACTCTTGCCTCCACAATTTTTTTTTTTTTTTTTAGATCTAAAAGATACTAAAGTAATCTGACGCACTCTCACGTTATGTGTTATGTGATTAGGTTCTTATGATTATTATTTTATTTTATTTCTTCAATGGCGTCCCCTCAACAAAAATCGGGAATCTCCTTTTAGAAATTGTTGTCTGTGTCCCCTTCTTATTCTCCTGGATCATAATTAGTATCTTGTTTCATGGACGAAGACAACCACTGGCTGCTGTAAATTAATTTGGTACCCAAATGGGGCCATATATAAGAAATCTTTCAATGCACGATTGATTCTCCAGAAAAGGAAAAATAAAACAACTTTGAATAATCCTTCCTATAATTATTTAATTGACTGTCAACAATGAATGCATGGGGAGTGCCTAAAATGTAAAAGCAAAAAAGTAATATTAATTATAAGAGTGCGCAAAGAATCGATGGAACTTAAATCAGAATCGGTATTTCAATTATCCTTTTCAAAAAGTTGGATTTTAAAAATTAATAATTAGGGTAGGTGAATGGTGATCAAACAAGTTACGTAAACAAAAAATAATATGTTTCATTCTATCATTTTAAAATACAATAAATGAGACCATCTATGCCATAAT